TGTAATTATTAAATATATTATATATATTATTATTATAAAAAAATACATGTTAATTTGTTTTAGCTAACAGTTCATAAAGATGACAAACGAAATATCAATAAATATTCTAACTTTAAATTGCTGGTAAGTTATATTATAAATATTGTAAAATTAATTATAATCATTTCAATTCAATTTAAACATTCCTAATATTTTTATTTGTTATTGTATATAAATAATTATATAAATAACATATATAATTGTCATTTATAAATATTTTCACAGATATAATATATATTTAGAATTAATGTTTACTTATACTGTTATATATTTTAGGGGAATACCATATGTTTCACCAAATAGAAGTGCTCGTATGACAGCAATTGCAGACAAATTTGCTACTGAAAATTATGATATTATTTGTTTACAAGAGATATGGTCAATTAATGATTTTAAAATGATAAAAGCTAAAACACAAGAACAATTACCTTATTCGCATTATTTTTATAGGTAAAAATTTTTCATTTATTATCATTTTTAATTATTTAAATAAAATAAAATATTTAAATTATAAAATATTAAATATAAATTAAGTATAAAATAAGTTATAAAATATATATATTTAATCATTAAATTTAATTTTATTATTTTTTTTTTTTAATTATATTGAATTTTATATATATTAAATAATTATAGTGGAGTTATTGGATCTGGACTTTGTATTTTGTCTAAATTTCCTATTAAAGATGTAATATTTCATAAATGGCCTTTAAATGGATATGTGCACAAAATACATCATGGAGATTGGTTTGGTGGAAAAGGTGTCGGACTTTGTAAACTTCAAATTCATAATTGGAATGTTAATGTCTATATTGCACATGTAAGTTTATTATAATTTTTATTTCTATTTATACAAAGTGTTTCAAAAATGTTGAAACATCTATAAATTGCAGATTCCTGAAATAATTTCAAGCAACATTTTCCTTTGCAAAAATTTTCATTACAGCTTTCTTAATGAATTATTAATAAAAAATATTAATCAATCAATCATAGAGCACATAGCCTAGTTGAGCCAAATGACAATAGCGTTATGTGCCACAAATACAAACAAATCCAAATACCATATCTCAAAAAAATATATTTTATTTTATTATTTTTATTATTGAACATTATATTTATTTATTTATTTATTTTATTTATTCGTGACATAATTTGATATAATTTTTTATCATAAAATATCATATCAATAAAAAAATATTTGTTATATTCAATATACTTTCTTCGAATTATTTGAATTTCGTGATGACTGCAATAATACTTAGCCAACACTCGCAGCTCGAGCAAACTATGTTTTGTGATTGATCAATGTTTTTTATTGATAATTTGCTAATAAAACTATAATAAAAATTTTTGCAAAAGAAAATATTGCTTCAAAAATCTCCAGTTTACGGATGTTCCAACATTTTTGAGACACTCTGGATATTATTATAATATATTATTTTAGTTACATGCAGAATACAATAAACACAATGATGAATATATAGCACATAGAGTTTTACAAGCTTTTGATACTGCCCAATTTATTAGAATGACTTCTGGTGGTGCTGATTCTACAATTTTGGGAGGTGATCTTAATACAGAACCTCAAGATTTAGTCTATAGAATTATTTGTGGTGTTGCTGGTTTAACAGATGCTTGCTCAAATAGTTCAAGTAATTTAGGAACCAATGAGTGTGCCAATAATAGTTATACTAATTCAAAACATGCAAATACTCTTCCTGATGGAAAACGTATAGATCATATTTTATATCAGGGTACAAAAAATGTTAAGGTATATTAATTAGCAATTTTTAATTATTATTTAGAGAATTTAATTATTAATATATAATTAAACTAATATTATGTTACTTATAGATAGAAATAACAAATTTTCAACATCCTTTTCCAAATCGGGTACCTTACAAAAACTTTAGTTATTCTGATCATGAAGCTATTATGGCAACTTTTAAATTTAGTATTGGTAAGTTAATAAATAAAATTATATAGAAATTATAAATAATTTGATAATTTTATATTTATTGTTGTAGGAGAATCTAAAATTATAAATATAGATATCAGAGATTCACTAAAAGAAGCTATTAATATATGTGAAACTTCATTAAAAAATGTTCGTCGTCAGCGATTTTGGTATTTATTATTGGGATGTATATTAATTATACCACTTATTTGGTCTATAGGATTGGATTGTTCTTTTACATCTCTCGATGTAATTATTGGACTTAATATAGGACGTATCTTTCTAACAGCAATATTGTGTTATACTTTGTTTATGAGTTCTATATGGAATAGTGTAGAAAAGAATGCTTTAAAAGCGGCATGTTTAGGAATGGAAATTTGTTTAGGAAATTTAAATAATAATTTATCTAAAAAGTAAAATTGTATACACTTTCCAAAGTATAATTAAAAATTTAAACTTCCTTTTTAAATTATTCTTCAATTATTCAGTTGAAAAATCAAACAATATCATCTCTAATAAAAATATATTTTCTTACACAATAAATTTTAGCATTTATTATATTCTGTTATATTAATATTTATATATGTTAGTATATTATTATACATTATATTTTATATATTATACTAATATTCTTGTGTTATTATAAGACAATAATTAAAAATATTTTTTTTATAAACAATTATATAAATATATTCATCGTTTTCATATAATAACTTTAATAAAATCATATATTCTTAATTAATAATAATAATAATATAAATGATAAATTATAATATTATTTTTAAATTTTACATGGAATAAAAATAAGAGTTTTTTAAATAGAAATGTTTAAAATGAATAAATATATACATATATAATTTAAGATTTTTTAAATTAATTAAAAATTTAATTAAGCATTAATTAAGCATTAAGGAATTACTTTATTAATAATATTAATAATAATAATATATAAATCAATTTTGATAAAATATTTAAGATAGATATATTTAATTTAACAAAAGTTTTATTAATTTTCATATTTTATTGACAATTATCTTATAAAAAAAATTTATTTATTAAAAATATTTTATAACAAGGCAATTTAAATACATTATATTGTAATACTTAATTACTTCATATTATTTAATTTATAAATTTGCAACATAAATCATTATTTAAAAAATTATGAATATGTGTTCATTTTTTGTATTATTATAATATTCAATTAAATTAATTAATATAGTCTTCATATTATTAAAATCTTTATTAAAAATTCTGATGGTATTTGGTATTTATTTATTTTATCACATTCTGATAATTATATGTGTGTACACATACATGTGCACGTACGCGTAAAGATTATCGTATTATAAACAAATATTATTGCCTATAAGATTTCCTAAAAGCTATATATTGAATCAATATCTTTTAGTACAAATATATTTAAATATTAAGTAATATATTAGCACTATATATGTAGATATATATAAATTTTTCTACAAGTGATTATATACACTATAAACGTTTTTGAGCAAAAAGGCTCCTAATAAATAAGATATATATTTTTACGTGTATGTGCGCCTATGCGCACGCATGTATGTATGTAATTGACTATGTAAATTGTACCCAAAAAAATTTAAATAGAAAACATCATGTTCCATACATCATTGCAGCAATTCTTATTTTCGCGAACATATGTTCCAATAAACAATAATACTAAATACATTCTACAATTTATGAAATATAAAAACAATATAGGCACTCTTTGGTTTTTCGAAATTCAAGGCAATTGTTCTACATAATTCTTTGGGACTAATCCTGTTTTACCATTTAATGTCCCTTCTAACCATCCTGGTTCCAAAGAGGCCTTTACTGTAATTAATAATTATATTAATAATTTATTCATAATGCAATTATTTTATATACAGATATATATTGAATGTACTGAATTTAATACCATTAGTAATAATTTGATTTGGTTCAAATGATAATTCTCCATCGCTTTCAGCTACACAAGCATACAAAGTGCGAACTCTCCTACAAGAAAAAATGTATTTTTAAATAACATAATATTAATACTGTAATAGAAGTACATACATAATGAATTACATAATGATGTTTGACAAGAATTTTATGTTTACCAAATACCAGGTACTTGTCCAGGGCTTGAACGTCCACTAGTAGGTGAGGTATTAACTCTATAAACAAAATTTTATAGTAAAAACATTTAATAAAAAAATAAATTGAAGTAATAAAAAAACTTACACAGATACTGATGGATTGCTTCGTTGAGCATAACTTGATGGATAATGAACTGACATCATAGAACTACGTTTTTGTTTTACTGGTAAATCAGATGAAAATGAATGCGGATCAGAAGCAATTGATTCACTTGAACTACTTGTATTACCACTGGTTAATACTAAATTTATATAATATTTAAAATATACAAAATATATAATAAGATTATAAAATATATAAATAAATATATATATATGTATTTAAAAAAAAATTAAAATAACCTTTATCTGCAGAATACATAAGATTCGCATTAGTTAATTTAACTCGTCCACTTCGATTATTTAAATATGTTAACATTCTGTGATTCATGTGCTCTGTTTCTTCATAATCTCCAAGTTTTAGATCATCAATAGATGTTAATGGACTATCATAATATGATCTCGTAACAAGCTATATAAAAAATTTAATTTTAGATAATATATAATTAATATATTATCTATTATTAATATATAATTTATGAAAAATTTATATTATATATTATATTATTTATGTTATATGCTTTGAAATTTAAAATTAAGTAATATACAGTAACATATATATATATAAAACTTACATGACCATGTGGTGAAGATATATTAGAATGTACTGGGTACCTTAAAAAAGGAGTACCATTACCACAAGATGTTGATGCATCTTCTGTGCGTGATCTAGAGGAAATAGCATTTTGTGTTGATGATATATTACATACAGTATCCTGTGGTGGACCAGCAACTATTCTTTCACAATTTTCAATTAAAATTTCAACTACAATATTGTAAAATTTAATATCCATTATAGAAGCTACTGTTTCTTCTTCTGGTCGCAATAAAGATGGGCCAAAACATACAGCCAAATTTCCAATAGTCATTAAATTTTTATCACTTTTCTTTGCCACACTGTAAAACAATATAATTAAATGAGTTTCGTTTAAATATAAATCTTTTCATTGAATATGAAATAAAATTAATTATTACCTATATAAATGTTTAATAAGTAGAACTAACATATTAAAATTTGCTTTTGGAAGCCGATAAACAAGATTATGAATATCATTGATACGTGCTTCTTTGATTTCTTGTTCTATTAAAATGAACAATAAAAATATCAAATAATTCATATATTTTTTATATAAAAGTTTAATATAAAAAAAGATAATATTTTTAATTTGATTTTAAATAAAATAATATTATAGAGAATACCTATACGCACTCGCAGCTGAAATAAAACTATTATAATATCGGAAAGTCATTAACGGTTCAGATAGCGTCCTTAAATATGTTTTTAATGCACTAGTAATAGTTTTACTTTCCCATTCAAAACGATTATCCAGATTAAGTTTTTCTAGTTTCCTTCTATCTAATCCCATTGCTAAAAGTTTATTTACTTTGGAAGCAACACCAACAACTCTATATAAACCTTGCACTTCAAGGCCTTAAAAAAAATATATCATATTAAAATTATTTTTAACAAAAATTTACAATTAAATGTTAGAATATATTATAAAATATCTTTTATTTAATTGTTTATATCAATTTTACCTCTTTCCTCGAGTATTGCAATGCATTTTGATACAAACATAAAACCTGTTTCATCTAAAATAGTTTCTTCAGATTTCGTCGATGTACTTACTATAGGATAATTCTGAAATTATAAATGCATTGTATTAATTTCTTCAATTACTTGTCACATATTTGAAACATAATATAGTAGAATTAAATAATATATTACTTACTGGTTCTTTACCATCCATGGCATCAAGCCATAGCTTTCTATCTTCTTCAGAAAGTGCTTGGAATGTGTATACTACATTATGCCTAAGAAAATAAAAAAAGATAAAATGTAATCAATAAAAATATATATATATATATAATATATTATATATATTATATAAAAACATTTATATTATAAATTAAATGTATTAATAATGAAAATAGTGAAAATTGTATATAAAAAATATAAATAAATATTACTTAATTACTAAAAAAA